TCTCCAGTAGCTTTTTACAATTGTATCATTCCAAGGGTAATTCACATTGAAGAATCAACAGCTAATATCAAGATTTCTTTTTCTTTTAGATTCTTTCAATCCATTTTGTCCAATCAGTAAGTTATATTCAAGAATTAGAAAATTATATTAAGTTTTTATTGGTTGTTTTAGATTGTTCAAATAGATTTTATTCAAATAATAAGCTTCATTTAAGAATAAAAACGTTATATAGAAATATCGATTCTTTTCCTCTTTTAGGTTCTTGGAATGAATTGTATTCAAAGGGTGAGTTACATTAAAGAATCAAAAATCTAATATTAATTTTTCCTTTCTTTTAGATTCCTCAAATGGATCTCAGCGAATGGTTAAGTTACATATCAGTGTTAGAGAAATAACGATGTGTCATTCTGATGTTTTTATGATAGACGACATGGGTTCGACATCTGTGTGACTGCCGATATTTTTCAGATCCTTCATTGCACTCTCAGGTTGGTGAGCTTTGAAACCTTTTTGCAGTTTCTGATATTGCTTTGTGAGAAAGTACTGTAACTATTTGTTTCAGTTTAGAAGACTTTGAACACCAATATTCGGAAACTGAAAGGTTTTCAGACAGTGCCAAAATCGGAAAGGCTCTAAAGTTTTCCCGGAACCACACTTTTTTTAGGAAATATACAAATAAGGGTATAGATATAAGGATATATTTTAAGGGTATAGATATAAGAGTATAGATATAAGATTCAGTAATAAGGGTATAGTTTAAGGCTAAAGCTGTAAGCGTATAGATATAAGGTATAGATAAGGCTATGGATATAATAATATCGAAACATGGATACAGAGATAAGGGAAATCCCAACGGTAAACCATTAAAATCATGGAACACCTTATACGTAGGACAGAACCTTTTTTGAAGAAAAATCATATATGGTTTCGTTATTTCTTTACTGAACCTTTTTCAGTCAGAAATGTTTTCGAGGTTTCTGCGTTTTACCCGATACCAGAACCCCTAAAATGGTTCTGTCAAACTCCTTTTTGTGTACTCAAAAAAAAAGTGAGTACACTATAGAATCGGTCAGTGTATCCGGCCGTTTACACGATAACTCCTGAAAGGCTGATCCGATTATCATGAAATTTTGTGCATAGCATTATTTCATCAATATCTCAGTCGAGTTCGAAGATGAAAGCAATCTGTCAAGAAATGGCTGAGTTATCGAAAAAATTGTCATTATTGACCAGACCATCCCTGAGGGGGGGAGGTACAGAGATTTTTTGAAAAAAAAAAGTTTTTTTCTAAGAATTATTCACAACATATATAAATCGACTCAGTTTTTAACGCTGATTCCGAATCTGATACTAGTTTTGAACTAAATCGTAGCTTTCTAACGAAATATCGCCTGAAAACGGTCTCAAAATGCACAAAAACTGCATCTAGAAATCAAATTGGCTAGTTTCTCATGGTAATTTCGGTGTTCAGATATTCTAGAATGACTCATATGTCCCATGTACTTTTTGCAGTATACATAGCTCTCGGATGAAATCCGAAGTTTCCACATTTATTTTCTTTCAGAGTGGTCGCTTGAGCCGTAAAATATTGTTTCATTCTCGACTCTGTTCAAATTTGTAAATGTTAAATCCATATGTCTATCTGATCTTTTAGAAGAATGAGAGTTGGTGGGAGTAAAGGCCAACTCATTTTCTTCGATCCATTTTTTCAGAGAGTTACCGCGTCTATCAGTAGATTGGCTAACCCATTCCTGTGAAGTTGCATTAAAATCGCCTGTCAAAATAGTACCTTTTACTGAGAAGGGAGATACATCTTTTAGATTACGCATTTGACCCTGTGACCAGTATATACCTATTATTCTAATTTGTTCAGAAAGACCATGGATATCCACAATTACCGTATTTTCTATATCAGTATCAATTCTCGTTGCTCGGAGATGTTTTCCTATTCTTATCATAACCCCTCCGCTATGATTTGTACATTTTTGATAAAACGATGTAAAATTCTGAACTTTGAAACTGTTCCAAAGTTCTCCTACTTCGGTAAATGCGCATATTGGACTATCAACTTTAAAAATTAGATCCATTAGTTCCAAGGCACGAGTACCCCAGTCTCGAACATTATATGTGAGAACGTTTAAAGGAATAAATTGGTTAGATAAAGGGTAAGAGTTGTTCTTCCATTTTGTTAGAACACTGTCTAAAGTAGAATTAGAATACCATTCTTTGAAAATTGGTATAGTTCGTTTTTGAACTTTACTAGGGAACTTCCAAATTACCAGTCTATCTAATGCTGTTCCAAAAATGTTTTTGTCAATGGGGAAAGGTGGTAGGTAGAAGAGGGGAAAAGGGGCGAGCATGAACATTGAGAGGAGAAGAGAGGTCAGACATCTTGACCTAGAAAGTTCATTGAAAAATCGTCATTTATTTCTACTTCTCCGATATTGTTGTTATCGATGATGTTGTTAGTTGTAATAAGGTGGGGAGAAGGCATGGAAGCACTGGATTCATCGCTTTTGTTCGAATCCAATTGTTTTTTCCATTTTTGAAGATTTTTAATTGATTTGCTAATATTTTTCTTTAATTTGGATCTTTCATTACTATTACCCTGCACCCAACTGAACATAATTTGTACCATGTCGATAATGGCACATATGCTGTTGCAATGGAGTATAGTGCTTTTATGTTGCACTTCGATACGGTTATTCAAATCGTTAAAAGATTTCGCCGTCCGAATCATAGTCTCTGATACAGCTTTGATCTTTATAACAAGATCATTCATCTCCTTTTTTAGAGGAGAGTGTAGAAATTCATTTCCAGATGTAGTCCATGCTGAATGACTATTTACCTTAACTTGATTTAATAACGGAAAATCATTTTCATGTTGTTGAAATGGACGGGATACTTCTCCTGATGCTGATCTTTTGATTGCGTCTAAAGCCAGTGCTTTGTCAACAGCTAATTTAAGCTCTTCTCTATATTCTTTTACAGCAGGACAAATTGAATCAAGGGAGTAATGATTTCCTCCGCATTGACCGCAGTTAAAAATATCTTGACAGCTGTGTTTTACTCCATTAGCATACGGACCTAAACACTTACGACAATTGACCGGTGATTGACATTTGTCTCTCATGTGACCAATTTTTCAACATGCTGTACAGTATGTTAGTCGATAACCAGTAAGAAATGTTGTAAGAGGTAGATAATGTTGACCAATTGATAGACGACCTAGTTCCAGTGCGTTTTGGTATTGTTCGAGGCTACGTATAGTAAATCGAATATCATATGATGGTCGTTCACGATGATGATAACGAATAGACGAGAAACCAGCTGCAACAGGAATTGTCTTTAAGATTTGTTGTCGGGCAGTATCTTGATTAATATCTAAAGGAATGTAACGTACTACCAAGGCGTAACAATCAGGCAAAGTGTGAGGCTTGATAAATTCAGTGTTTTTATCTTCAATTTCCTCAGACCAGGACCAATTGAACGAAGTTAAAAACTCAGCTATATCATCTACAACAAATTTAAATCTTCGCTCGCCTACTTGTACACATATCGACAGTTCCTTAATAGGAATTTGATTATCGCCAAATAATTTCTTAAGCATAATAGCAACTTGAATACTGGACGGAATACAGTTAGGTTCAACAGGAGCACCAAAGACGATGAAAAAACAAGGTAACTTACTGAAAACTGTCCGTTTAAGAAAGTTTACATTGAAAGAGTGTTGGTGATGGTGAAGAGGAACGAGCGTACACTCTAAATAAAATCTGTTTTCTGGGAAACGAATAGGATGTTTCCGGGAAAGGGTTTCTGAGCATCTGTAAACTTATCTAAAACCCTCACAAGCAATCAAGCAAGGTGACGATCCCGAAAACCTAAGGAGGGTTTCCGATACTTCGGGAACTTTTTAAACGTTTCCACAGTTACAAACCAGCAACCGATTCATATAGGTATCCGACCTTGCCAAATTCATTTTCCGTTATGATTAGTATTTTAACAACAGACATCTAAGGGTTCTCAAATCCATCGCAGTCACGAAGTCTCCATGAATCTAAAAGTTCAAACTGCTCAATTGAGTCTTACTCAGAAGGTCTTCACCTCCGCCAATGTCATTGTCTTTCAATTAAGACTTCCGGTGCCAGTTCGAACCCTATAGTACCACACTCTCGCTATCTATAAAAGCCAGGATGCTTGCTAAAGTCAGAGTCCTCAAGTCTTAAAGTTCCGAAGTCAGTGTTGAAATCAGTCTAAGTCTGAAATCATCCAATATTTAAATCTCAGAGAGTCATAAACTCTGTAAGTTTCCCTAAGCCAAACTTCTGCGATCAGTCGAGATCTGAGAATATAGTACTTCGTCAGAATTCATTTCATCAAACTCAATGAAAAAAATTAATATATTTTATTCAATAAAATCAAATCACCATATTATAATTTATTTCATGAATGTTAATCGAAAAACAAGTATTATGAAACAAAATGAACATGAAATTCTCTACATGACATATTTTAAAATGTTTCTCTTTCAATATAATAATAGGATAAAAATTGGTAATTTATGTGTAAGTTTGAGCTGCCCTCTGAAATGAGAAAATAAATTCAATCGCAATGTATGAATACTAAAATATTTGAAACATGTGTTGCAATAGATGACGCTAATTAAAAGCTTATTTTTTAACAGTAAGGATTGAAGATGAAGGAATAAAATGTAAAAAATGGTGATCATCTCATCGTAGAATAACTTCGGTCGGAATTTTAAACAGCTTACTTTTAAAATCGTTAACTATACCGTTATTCGAACTAAGCTTATGTAGCCAAACTGAAACATCGTCCACATTTCACATTAGTGAATCAAAGTATTCATCTAGAATAATAAAAAGCATGATCCTTAGTAATTTTCATGCACTGAGTGCACGCATCTTAGTTTGGATAACAATATCAGGGTGCTTGAAGAACTACCTTTATTTCTCCTTGCCGCGAATCGAATTCAAAAATGCTTGTGCTTCGGTACATTTGATAGGCATGAATTTTCTTTGGTAAATAAAAATATATTAAAAGAAAATCAGAGATTGTCATAAATTATCGGAATTTCATTGATTAATTTGCAGATGAAAGAAGAGTATTTTTGACTAGTTTATGAAAGCGTAGAGATATTTTGGAGAAGTTAAATAAATTATCCAGTTAAATAAGAATATACATGAAAAGGATTATAACAAAATACGGCAATTTTTTCATAAATACATGTTAATTTACTCTTCCTAGGAGCTCAATGTGAATTATCTGAGTTAATAAAACTAAATATTACTTCAAGCTATATGACAACTTTCAGTCACTTATCTTCATATCACAATTCATTTTACAACAGTTGAAGTAAACAATACTAGACCGCATATGCATGATAAAATATCTCTTGATTAGAGAGGCACGTGCCTTTATTTTTTATTTTTACTTGAAATACGAAATAAGCATACGAACAAAGAACAAGAACGCAAAGAAAATATAATCATACTCTAACTCATCACTGCTCATATGGATACATCTCAGGAATTCTTTTTGCTTCTAAAATAATAATGCTTGTTTCAGTCTATTAGAAATGGATATTTCCTCATTAGTTAAACCATACGATTATCTATAAAACTTTTATGTGAATTAGTTAAAAGAATCTTTAAACATAACAACTTCCCGTGCTTCACTTCAATATTTTCCAAGATAGTAGCGTTTGTATAATGAACAAAACTTAATTCAATAAAAAAAGAGAAAAACGAAATTTCTTGACTGGAACGACGATTTAGCTCAGTGCACCAAGTTTCAAAGAAAATTCGTCATTTAATATATTTACAGCTGTATACAACCAGGAATATAAAAATACGACAAGGTTCTCTTGGAAAAAAAGAATTTTTTTGAATCTCAACAATTCTAAAAGCTTTAGAAAGCAACTTCGCGTACATGAAACATGATTTCTGGGGAAACGCTTTTTATTTAGAGTGTTCGGCACTGTGCGTGTCGTGTATTCATTAAATCAAGTTAAAAATCATGAATGTTCTGCGTTTCAATTCCACATGGACGGCTGTAGCAAGTTTTTTTAAAATCGCACTGTTTATTAAAATAAGATAAAAATTGTATGATAAATGGTAGATAAAATGGGTTACACAAAGATGAAATGAAGAAGAAAAAAAAGTCTGAGAAAATAAAAAAAAAAACAATAATGTCCTTTTTTGTCAGTTGCTGTTGGATGGCTGCGCCGATTCCATGTTGTGCCTTCTAGAAAGTAAAAAGAATCTAAAAATTGAGTTCGCGGAAATATTTTAAGACACTTACTTGCTGACTCAAAATACTAGTTCAGCTATTTTTTTGACATTGAAAGCACTATAGTGACAGTCGGAGTGAAATATCACGTAAAAAGTGAAACACTACTATCACTGGATTATTCACAAATTCTGCTTACTGTAGCGTTAGTCGTT